AAATAAAATAAAAAATAAAAATGCAGAGGGAAGGGTCAAGGAAGGTGCTGGGGCAGAGATCACCAATTATTGTTGGCTTGGAAAGAAAACCTTGAAGTGGGGCAGGAGTGGGCAAAGCTGCAGAGAAAAACAAGAAAATGTCAATAAAAGCCCTGGAAAAATGGAATTCTGCGAGGGATGGGGAGGAGGGGATGAGAAAATCAGCCTGGGGCAGCTTCCAGCAGCATAAAATACAAAAAAATGGGAAAAAATGGATTTTGGGGGTGATTATTAATGATAAAATTATCCTGGGGCAGCTTCCAGCAGCATAAAATACAAAAAAAATGGAAAAAAATGGATTTTGGGTGTGATTATTAATGATAAAATCAGCCTGGGGCAGCTTCCAGCAGCATAAAATACAAAAAAATGGGAAAAAAATGGATTTTGGGGGTGTTTATTAATGATAAAATTATCCTGTGTCAGGTTCCAGCAGCAAAAATGTAGAAAAAAATGGGAAAAAATGGATTTTTGGGTGTGATTATTAACCTGAAATTATCCTGTGGCAGCTTCCAGCAGCATAAAACACCAAAAAAATGGGAAAAAATGGATTTTGGGTGTGATTATGAATGATAAAATCAGCCTGGGGCAGCTTCCAGCAGCACAAATCCATAATTAATGTTTGATATCTGATTATTGTTTAATATCAGTTTATTATTTGATATCAGTTTATTAATTGATATTTGTTTATTGTTTGATATCAGTTTATTAATTGGTATCTGTTTATTGTTTATATCTGATTATTGATTGTATCTGTTTATTATTTGATATCAGTTTATTGATTGATATCTGTTTAATGTTTAATATCAATTTATTGTTTGATATCTGATTATTGTTTGATATCAGTTTATTGATTGCTATCTAATTATTGTTTGATTTCTGATTATTATTTGATATCAGTTTATTGTTTGATTTCTGTTTATTGTTTGATATCTCTTTATTATTTATATCTGTTTATTGTTTTAATCTGTTTAATAATTTAGATTTGTTTAATGTCTGGCTGAGATGATCCAGCAAGGATTTATTAATTTATTAATTTATTAATTAATTTATTAATTTAATTAATTAACGGTTGGTACATCATTAGTGGGGGAGTTTTGGCTGGAACAGAGTCTGGAATATTTGGGGATGTGCAATAAAAACATCAATTATTGTTGGTTTGGAATTTTTTGAATTCCTGGAAATTCCTGATTTGTCCTGTTCTAGAAAAATGCTAAAATAAATAAAATAAGTAAGAAAAGAAATTTTTTAAAAATAATAAAATAACTAATAAAATAAATTAAAATAATAAAATAAAATAGATAAAAAATACTAAAATAAAATAGATAAAAAATAACAAAATAAAATAAAATAAAAATAATAAAAATTAATAAAAATAATAAATAAAAATAGCCTAAAATATAAATAATACAATAAAAGTAATACAATAAAAATAAGAATATTTGACAAGGACGTGTGCAGAAGATAAATTCTGTTTCACCCCCCTGGGCTCAGGGCAGATTTTCTTTGAATTTTTAAAATTTAATTGGAAATCAAAAATTTTCCCTGCTCACCTCTGTGCAAAATCTTCAGGCTCCACAAATAGGTCAGGCCCTTCACAACCTGTGGGGGAGAGAAAAAAAAAAAAATTTAAAAATAAAAATTTAAAATAAAAATTAAAAATAAAAAGTAAAAATAAAGATTAAAAAAAAAATTAAAATAAAAATAAAAATTAAAACTAAAAATTTAAAATAAAAATTTAAAATAAAAATTTAAAATAAAAATTAAAAAATAAAAATTTAAAATAAAAATTTAAAATAAAATTTTAAAATAAAATAAAAATTAAAATTAAGATTTGGAGTCACTGGTGGTGAGGGAGGAATTTTAGGGATGAGTTTTAGGGATGAGGTTTGGGATGAGTTTTTGGGATGAGTTTTGGGATGAATTTTAGGGATGAGTTTTAGGGATGAGGTTTGGGATGAGGTTTGGGATGAGTTTTAGGGATGGGATTTTAGGGATGAGTTTTGGGATGAGTTTT